ACCATCAGTGAGTAGTAGTATGGCTTCATAAGTAAATAGGAAGACCACAGAAAAGATTCAAGGGTATAGTGAAGGAGGGTTGGTGTAACAGAGGAGGATGCAAGGGATGGGGTGAGCTGGAGAAAGATGATCTGCTGTTGCAACTCCTAAAGTGGGCAGTGAAAGAAGAAGATTCCCAAGTGTGATACATTTATTGAGTTAAGATGGTCAGTTTAGTGTAACGACCAAAAAATCTACTCAACTGGAAATAAACCTGAAAACAACAATTCCTCAGAAGTAGACTATTTCCATTCTAAGATATTAAAATACAATATTCATTTCTAAAAAGGAAGAAAGAATTGCTATCGAGGCTACAAGAGCTCCTAGAAATCGATGGAATCTAAAAAACAAACAAAAAACCCAACCCCAGGAAATACATTTTTTAATGAGTTACAGTCCAACACCATTTAAATCTCAAAGATTATATTTATTATAACATAGCATACAAATCAACTCTTAATTCTCTAAATCAAGCAAATTCTAAGGGGATGAAATGTCCACACTGTTTCTGTGGAATATTAGTGAGTGGAAAATGAAACATCTCAATAAAAAGATTTTCCTGCCATGAATGAGCTGAGATCCCCGTCAGTGAATATGCAGCATGATCCACAGCTACAGAAAAAAGGTTTTTGTGAACAAAGAAGAATTCCGTATACTGTCATTCATTGTTCCGTATGTAATGTAGCAGACGCCAAATGCAGTGTGCTTATTTTTCACCTGGGTGTAGATAGATAGGCACAAACATTAATTTAATTGGCTAAAAATCATCTTTATATACATTTACCTTCACTGAAATATGAAAAAACAATATATATGAAATGTTATCTTTTCCAAACAAAAGACATGCCAACAGAGACAAATCATAGTCAAAATCTCATAATGAAGACTGATAATAAAATTGATGTTAATATTTTAATTGATGTTAAGTCATAGCAGCAAGCAATGCACTGCAATCTGTTAAAAGGAAGCGTTTTGGCAGGGTTTGTTACTTTGAGAGCTTAATCATATGTCTCTTCCCATACAACTATCATCGTAATAATGAAAAACAGGAGTCCAAGGGCAACCAGGACTGTGGAAGTTATGTTAAGCTGGCGAGCAGTGGCCCCATAATGCCGTGCACCCTCCAAATCTCCAACCACCTTCCGGTCTCTGGCCTAAAAAGACAGAAACATATAGATTGTAAAAGTGTAGTTGGAGTTCATGGATATTAACTTGATCTATGTGGTAAAATCAACATAATGTAGGTCATAGTAAGCAGACAGTGAAAAACTGATGTATTTTTTCATGCACACAAATGTACACACACACACACACAAACACTCAGAAGAATAACAGATGCTCAAAAAAACTGAATTATTTAACCTCACCTTGATAGAATAAATGAGAGCTGCAAGTCCAAGACAACAGGGGTTTGAGTAGACAAAGCAGAGGAGGGACCAGATAATATGGTCCTTTGGAGGCTCAGTGACGATGTTCACACTGGTGTGCTGAACCAATACAGATTCTCCAGGCTGTCCAGAGGGCCCATCATAGGGCCTCACCTGCATTGGAACATAAGCTGGAGGTTTCATTGCTCTCACTGGTCTGGCCTCAGCTGCAGTTTGGAGAGACGAAAGATGTTGAAAAGAGTTACTGAGATTGATGATTTCATTTTTGAAGTCTTTGGGCAGTGAGGGAGTTAAAGCAGTTGTCTCTGTTAGAAACTGAACAGTAACAGCTGTGTCTTTGGGGTCCAGGCTTTTCCAAAAGGTTGTTGTGTCCTCACAACTGAATTTTTCTTAAATATTTGAATTATGAATTCACTGAATAAATTAGTAAATATAAATAAACAATGTAAATAATATGACTGTGAGTAAATGGTTTGGGACAAAGCACACGATTTTTTGAGGATTCTGGACTCACAGTTGGTGACACAAACTAAGTTAGCATGAAGTGACATCAAAAATCTGCTTACGCACAGTGATAAAATCTCTCTTCTGCTTTTTACATCTAACGGGTCTGACATGCTGGATGAAATATGCTGAGTGTCAGTGAGCTTGAGCACAAAAACATCACCTACCGCCCCTCCCCCAATTCTGAAGCCTACATTTAACACAGAACAAATGCAGATGTTGTCTTCTGAAAACTGTACTAACCACCACAGTCACAAAATTCAATTTCAATTACAACCAAAGAGAAACATAAAGATTCTTATGTCACATCTTCAATATATGGCAGAGAAACTTCAAGAAAAAGTCTCGCACAAGATTCCTCCATTGTGCAACAGCCTCATCGTGAAAACAGACAGCATTGCTACACACACACACAGCTACACAGACTCAAAAGAAAATGGAAATAAAAAAGTTTTCCTACTTTTAAGTTCATCGTGCCTCTCCTGAGACTCTACTAAGACAACCCGATCTTTGTTTCTAGTATCACGAAACATGTCAGTCATTGCCCTCAGCCGTCTGTAATTATGTGAGCGTAACAGCGTGCTCAGCATACAGGAATTGAAAGCAGACGTTGGCTTCGTTTCACATTTGTGTTGTGCTGTGTGGGTTCAGGAATTTGCGTCACTGGCATGATCAAACAGGATAAGGAAGGAAGTTCAACACAGCCTTTGTTGTTACAGTGACAATCAGATACAGTAGGTAAAACAAATATTGAACACTTTTCTAAGTAAATATATTTTGAAAGGTGGTATTGACATGAAATTCTCACCAGATGTAAGCAACAATCTATCCAGTAGATGTCCATAAATTATGTGTTCTAATGAGAAACAGTATAGCGAAGGAATTTTGAACACATGAGGAAATGGAGATGCAAAAATGGCAAGCAAAGTCATGACACTGGAGGTCAGGACACAGAGGAGTGAAAAGAATTACTATTAAGAGTTATCCAATTGCCAAGAAAGTAGTGCACCTGTGGAGCACTACAGAAAGATCTGGAATCAGCATGGAAAATTGTTTCAAAGACAATAAGTAATGAGGTCAACCACTGTGACCTTTATGCACCATGCAAGATTCCATTGCTGAAGAAAAAGCAAGTTGAAGAGCGTTTAAAGTTTGCTGAACAACATTTAGACAAGTGTAAGGTTCTTTTTGATTTGGAAGGAAAAATAAGCGCAGACAGAGTCCTAGGGGGTGTCCAAAAAGTGATTTATTAAACACACACTTATTATACAGTGTGGGAAGCCGGTCTTCTCCTTCTGCCCGTTTACAGAAAGCTTTATATCCTTTATGACGTCAGAACAATTCCTGGAAATCACCTTCTTCAGAACAACAACTCTTTCCCAGACTTAAAACCAGATGTTTCCCATCATCGGTGTTTGGTAACATAACAATTGTGTAACACGAGTGTGCAGTTGTGTAAGATTGTAGGTCCAGGCCACCGAAAGGTGAGTGTCCTCATCTGACTTACTGTGGACCCACATCTATGCTGGTGCTATGAATGATAGAGTATTATATCTAGAATGTGTTTATTCTGCATGCTCTGGCAAATATACTAAATGATAAATAATACATGATAATATTGATGATAACCTGATGATGATAATGATAAGTGATGCAGACTAATGAAGTAATGATGAAATAATGACCGTGCATGTGAATAATAACACAGTGACAGTAAAATAACATTCCTTTACGTGACACCTTCCCAAAGGAAAAAGTACTATAGCTTACTAGGATATGTTAGACTTAATAGTTACTATATACAGTAATAGACTTCTATACATTTTACATCAGATTAAAACTTTGGGTGTAATATTCAGATAATACTCCTCCACATACTCCTCCAACAAGCTAAGGTTATGAGCTGAGTTACGCCATGTTGCAAGTTTTGTGAGGTGCTTTTGTGATATTTAATAGATCGGATTACAGTTTTTTATTTCCCTCCGATATCCGATGTAGTAATTTAGGTCAGTATCGATACTGATACCAATATGCAATATCGGATCCGTCCATCCCTAGTTTAGGGTATGTAATGTACCTCTTACCATAAATGGCCAAATCTAATCTCATAATAAAACTTTTTTTAACTTAAGAAATTGATAAAGGTTCATTGTGTCATAATATTTATACAGACCAAATGCTGACATCCCCTGGCCATCAGTTACTATTAAATTTAAGTGGAGGGAAGAACTTAAGCAAGCAAGAAATTTATTAATATATCACTTTCGGAACAGCTCCCAGCTGAAAACAAAGTGATGTACATTTGATATGCCAAAAACGATACAATGAATAAAGATAAGCAAGAAGTCATAAGTAAAATGATCGTTAGAATTAATTTTAAAATAATAAAATCAGCACAAATAGCAAAAATAAAATAGTATAAAATTATAATTAGAACTGCATTCAAGACAATAAAATCAGCACATTAGATTACACTAAAACAACAAAATCAGGGTCATACTGTGTCATACGCCAACAAGTAAAAATTGGTTTTAAGATGTGTTTTAAAAGAGCACAATGAAGGGGCCTCTCTAATGTGCTGGGGCAGATTGTTCCAGAGATTAGGAGACCCAGGGGGTGATTAAAGACAAAGAAGCTCAGAGAGGTAAGGTGGGGCAAGACTGTTTAAACATTTAAAAAGAAATATTAGTATTTTACAATGAACTCTAAGATATACAGGCAGCCAATGGAGTGAAGCGAAGATGGGAGTTATGTGCTCTCTTTTGCGAGTTCTGTTAAAAGTAGTGCAACAGGCTTTGAACCACCTGCAGATGAGAGAGAAGAAACTAACTCCAAAATACAGTGCATTAGAGTAATCTAAATGAGATGAAATAAAAGCATGGATTACTGTTTCAAAATACGGCCTGGATAAAATAGGTCTTACCTTTGCCAAGCGCCTTAAATGATAAAAACTGTACTTGACAGTAGCCCTAATTTGAGTTGAGTTCAATTGAAAATCACTGTCCAGCTTAAAACCCAGGTTAGTAACAACAGGTTTAAAATACTCTGCCAGGGGTCCCAAATCAATAGTGGTCCGATAGAACCAAACAGTCACCTCAGTTTTGCTTGAATTACATCTTAAAAAAGTTTAGGGACATCCAAGATTTAATATCTTCTAGACATGCTAGAAGTGGTTTAATAGAGAACGCATCTTTCTGCTTCAGAGGGAGATAAATCTGGCAGTCACCAGCATAACAGTGGAAGGATATTCCATGCCTTCTGAGGATGGTTCACAAGAGTTGTAAATATAATGAAAAAAGCAAAGGCCCTAAAATTGAGCCCTGCAGGACCCCTAACTGAAAAGTGAAAATGACTCAAATCCTAAAAAGTTAAAACTAAAAGTTCTGTCAGAAAGATGAGACCTAAACCAATTCAAAGCAGTATCATAAATGCCTTGCAAGATGGTGTAAGCGGGACAGTAAAATGTTGTAGTCTACAGTGTCAAAAGCAGCTGTTAGGTCAAAGAGGACAAGAACAACATGATTACCAGAATTACAGGTAAGAAAGATATCATTAAAAATCTATAAGATTGGTGACTTAGTGCTATGGAGGTTTTTAAAACCTGTTTGGGATACCTCTAAGATACCATTGTCATTTTTAAAAAATCCATCAATTGGCAATAAACAATTTTCTCTAAGATTTGTTTATTATTATATTCATTTATTTTTATTATATTCATTGTTTTCATGAATGGCCAAATGGTCTGTTGCAATGAATTATGGGACGCCTTTTTCTCCTCCCTTTTTATAAAGGATGCTCCAGTGCTAACGGAAGCAACAAAGGAAGCACCGAAGCACCTTTCCTTAGCATTTGGATAATCGGAGCAGCTTTTATAATGACCGCCACAGTTCCTAACTGAGAGACTGAGCAAAATGAACTATTAGAACACACCCCTATTTCTGAAATTAAACAATGGGTCTGAAGCTGTGTTTTTCTTTACAGAATTTGAGGCTTAATAACAAGTCACAGAAGCAACTAACTTAATCTCAGTGTAAATGATAATAGTACGGTTCTCTGTGAGCATAATCAGATAGATTTGCCGTCACAGAACCTTAATTAAGATTAAAATCACAAATCCAATGACAAACAGGACGGTGGCGGCAATGTTAAGCCCACGGGCAGTGAGCCCATGACGTCGTGTACCCTCCAGATCTCCGGCCACCTTCCGGTCTCTGGCCTAGAAGGACAGAAACATATAGACTGTAATAGTGTAATCATCTTTATCCCAATGTAAATTGAAACTGAAAATGTTAAGCATAGCCTAAGTTTAATTTTCTGGAAAAGTTACGCTTCCTGTTTTTAGTAAACACAAGCAATTATAATAATAATCCCAGTTGCCCGTTTTGGTTTTTTTTTTTTGTGCCCATATAGTTTCCTTGTTACTATCAGTGTAGGAAATAATGTAAACTGTATAACATATTTAAGATATTTCTTTCATCAAATCATTTATCTCTATTTTTATCTTTATTGTGCTGTGTACATTGTTGTGCTTCAGCCCAAACTGTTCTTATGACTCTTGCAATGGTCTTAGTTAGGACTGAGTTTTCCTTGGAAAGTATTAGAACACACTTTTCCACTGATTTAGTCAGTTTTTTGCACTCTCAGTTTTGGTGTTTGTTGTGTTCGATGCCATGATCATGTAGCTTGATTTATATGGTAAATCAATATATATTATGTATATAAGATATGGTAGGCAGGCAAGTATATATTTGCATACAAACACACCTTGATAGAATAAATGAGAGCTGCAAGTCCAAGACAACAACAAGGGTGTGAGTGGAGAAAGCAGAGGAGAGACCAGATAAAATGGTCCTTTGGAGGCTCAGTGATGACATTCACACTGGTGTGCTGAACCAATACAGATCCTCCAGGCTTTCCAGAGGGCCCATCATAGGTCCTCACCTGCATTGGAACATAAGCTGGAGGTTTCATTGCTCTCACTGGTCTGGCCTCAGCTGCAGTTTGGAGAGAGGAAAGATGTTGAAAAGAGTTACTGACATTGATTATTCCATTTTTGAAGTCTTTGGGCAGTGAGAGAGTTAAAGCAGTTGTCTCTGTTAGAAACTGAACAGTAACAGCTGTGGGGTCCAGGGGTCCAACTTTCCAAAAAGGTTGCTATGTCCTCTCACCTGATTTTTTTTTTTTTAAATCTTTGAATTGTGAAATCTGAATTCACTGAATAAATTGATAAATATAAATAAATAATGTAAATGATATGAATATGAAACATGTTTTGGGACAGAACACACGATTTTCTGAGGATTCTGTACTCACAGTCGGTGATACAAACTAAGTTAGCATGCAGTGACATCAAAAATTTGCTTACGCACAGTGATAAAATCTCTCTTCTGCTTTTTACATGAAGCCATTCTGCTGAGTGTCAGTGGGCTTGAGCACATAAACATCACCTACCGCCCTTCCCCCAATTCTGAAGTCTACATTTACTATCTTGATTGCTTTTCTGTAAGTGAGCACAGAACAAATGCAGATGTCTTCTTCTGAAAACTGTACTAACCTTACCAATACTGCACCACCAATTACACCAATTACAACCAAAGAGAAACATAAAGATTCTTATGTCACAACTGTAATATATGGCAGAGAAACTTCAAGAAACAGTCTTGCACAAGATTCCCCCATTGTGCAACAGCCTCATAAAAACAGACAGCATTGCTACACACACACACAACTACACAGACACAAAACGAAATGGAAATTAAAAAGTTTTCCTACTTTGAAGTTCATCGTGCCTCTCCTCAGACTCTACCAAAACAACTGAATCTTCAGTTCCAGTATCACGAAACATGTCAGTCATTGCCCTCAGCCGTCTGTAATTATGTGAGGTCTGTACTCAAATTCCATTAACAGCCAAGTGCCCAGTATACAGGAGTTGAAAGCAGACGTTGGTGGTTAGTTTCACATTTGTGCTGTGCTGTGCTTGGTTCAGCTATTTTCTAAGTAAATATATTTTGAACGGTGGTATTGACATCAAATTCTCACCAGATGTAGGCAACAATCCAGCCAGTAGATGTCCATAAGTTTTATGTTATAATGAAAAACAGTATAGGGAAAAAAAATCTGAGCACATGAGAAAATGGAGATGCAAAAAAGGCAAGCGAAATCAAGACACTGGAGGTCAGGACACAGAGGAGTGAGAAGAAATATCAGAAGAGTTTAAGAACTTTTAAGCTTTGCTGAACAACATTTAGACAAATCTGTGAAATACTCTGAGAATATAATCTGGTCAGATGAGACCAGATGAGATGTGTTGTGGAAGTTTTCCATTTAATAAGGCCTGCAGACAAGCGGTGAGCGGTAGCTAACATTCTTTAATCAAAACAAGAACAGGTGAGGGAATGCATCATCGCGGGGCAGACGATCAGCAGATTCGCGCCCGGAGCCTAGTATGGCTCTCAGTTAAATACCACTTACAGGAACAAAAAGCAGTACACAGTAGTGATGTGTGATACCACTGATTTCCTTTCCGATCCGATACCAAGTAAAATTCAGGGTGGTATCGACGATACTGATCCGATACCGATACTTTGTACAAAAACTTATTTTATTTACTGTATCTTTTATTGAATCTCAAATTATAGCTTCATAATGATCACAGGACATCAGATTACTTGTTCTTATCACTTAATAATGCAGAATTATCATATAGAAATAAAAAAACCTGAAGTTGTGCTATTTGAACACGTTGCCTGCCTGCAGCACTAAAGGACTCCCTCCTCCTCTTCAGTTCGCCTCAACATACGCTCGTCATATTCTGTGATATGATTTACTCTGAGGTGTTTGATAAGGTTAGTGGTGTTGCCACAACACCTCACTTTCTTGCCACATGTATCGCAAACTACTACTTGTTTGTGGAGGTAAAATACGTCCACACATGTCACCGTTTACGCTCAGCCATTGTTGTGAGTGCGCACGCCAGGGGCTGCCACACAGTTATACGTGTTTCACACATGACTATGAAAGACGTAAGAGGAAGTAGTTACTTCCAATGTAGACAATCCGAATGATAGTTTCTTTCCACTGTGTTCCTGTTAATGATAAACTACAAATTTACTCTAAATTACTAAAATATCGATATTTTAATGTGAGAATCGATTCTAGAACATAAATGACTGGTATCGGAGGAATCGATATTTCAGGATCGAAATATCGATCCTGAAATATCGATATCGACCACTAGTACACAGCTGTTTTACACCTTTGGTTTTTCCCCCCAAAGAAAGTTTCACACTCCCTTGCTACTCTTACAGTAGAGAAAGAGACAAAAGCCCTCGTAACCAGTTTCCCTCATTCTCCTTCTTATCTCGATAATCCCACAAGAGATGCTCAAGGGTCTCATCTTCATCACAATTTACCGGGAGACGCCCGAGAGAGATGAGCCACACCACATCCCTCATATTCTCAGCAATGATCTTATCTTGAATATTTTTAACTATCAATAAATTTTCTCCCATTTCTGCATGTCTATATTGAATTATACCTTCATTTTTAATATCATTAATTGTATTATACTTTTCCTTTGTACTAATCTTCAAAATATCGAGATTATGTCGGCCTTGGCTCATTAAAGTCCTTGTCTTTAAATTAACTTTGTCTGTG